CCCACCCACCCATCCACCCAGCCACCCCCTCACCCACCCACCCATCCCCCCAGCCCATCCACCCACCCGTCCAGCCACCCATTTCACTCACCATCCACCCGCTCCGCTACCCATTCATCCATACACCCACCAACCCACATACCATTCATCCATCCATTTGCCCACCCATCCTGGCACCCATCCATCCATCCATCCGCCCACTCATTTATCCATCTATCTGTCTATCCCTCCATGCACTCATCGTCCCAGGAATCCACGCACCCATCCACCCAGCCATCTGTCCACCCATCCCCACATCCATCCACCATGCCCCTTCGGGACAGCTCCGGCTCGAGGGCCCTGGAGTGGCCGGCCATACCAGCATAAATGACCAGCCCATAGCAGGTGTCTGTGTTGCGAATCTTGCAGCCTCGGAGGAGGAGGTTGCCGATATCCAGGGAATATTTTTTGTCATTCCATTCCAGGCACCCCACGAAGCGGTGCAGCCGGCTGTTGGGCGCCTCACATGTCACTGTGCCTGTGGGCAGCCAGGTGGTCAGTGGGTCAATGGGCTCAGGCCCTCCTCTCCAGGCTCCCTGCAGCCCCCCTCCCCCCGTTGTGAATGTCTGTGAGCTCCGTGAGAACAGGTGCCAGCCTCATCTCAGCCATGCTCTGACCACAGGGCACAGCCCAGCACCTGCACACAGTAGGTGCTCAATAAATGTGTCAAAAGGGAAGAGGAGAAGGAACAGCTGCTAGAGGAGCCTCCTCCTGGGTGCCGGAGCCTACCCACCATCCCCTCCCCATTCACCAACACCCTACAATGGCCTCACTTCTGTCGGAGAAAACAGGTTCAGACCACACAGACTGGCCCAGGGCAGCATCGGTGAGGGTTAGAATGATAATGGGGCATGAGGCTGGGACCCCAGAAGGGAGAGGAGCCACAGGGCTCCTGTCGGGTCCTCATCTGCCTCCTGGTCACGCCTTAGGGATGGGGAGCCGGACTCTGCCCTGAATGTAGGAACTGGAGGCATCTATGTTGGGAGGGCAGAGGGCAGAGGAGCTGCAGGGCAAGCCCACGCCCCATGCCTCCTCCTCTGAAAAATGGGTTCATGCCCAGTGACAATGCTGGGGCAGGTGTCCGAGGCCAGGCCCACAGAAGCCCTCCTGGCTCACCCAGGAAAAGTGGGAAAGGAAGAGTCACTGCCTGCCTATGATTCTGTGCCCCAGTGGCATTAAATAAAGGAGCCGACTGGGTGCGGTGACTCACGCACCCAGCACTTCCAGAGGCCAAGGCAGGTGGATCACCTGAGGTCAGGCGTTCGAGACCAAGGCTGACCAACATGGTGAAACCCCGTGTCTACTAAAAATACAAAATTAGCCGGATGGCAGGCGCCTGTGAACCCAGCTGGTCTGCAGGGGAGGCCAAGGCAGGAGAATCACTTGAACTTGGGAGGCAGAGGTTGCAGTGAGCCGAGATTGCACCACTGTACTCCAGCCTGAGCGACAGAGACTCTGTCTCAAAAAAAAAAAAAAAAAAAAAATGAGGGAGCCTTTGGTCAAGTTCTGGGACTGTCAGGGAAATTAGGAGAGATGGCGGGCACCCTCCACCAGGACTAAGCCTTTCCCCAGATTCCAGAGGCAGATGGGAAAAACAGGTGTCAGGAGTCTGCCGTTCAAGGAAAAGGCTCTGCGTGCGAATCAGTTAGAGCCAGTTGCCTTCACAATAAGACAGGAAAACAAAACCAAATTGTACTCCAGGCCGGGCTGCAGCAGAGCAAGTTTCCACGCCACTCGTGAAATGCCTCCAGGTGGAATTAAGAAACAGCCAGGCTGTGAAGTGGGGGCAGCACTCTGTTCTTTTTTTTTTTTTTTTTTTGAGACGGAGTTTCGCTCTTGTTACCCAGGCTGGAGTGCAACGGTGCGAACTCGGCTCACCACAACCTCCGCCTCCCGGGTTCAGGCAATTCTCCTGCCTCAGCCTCCTGAGTAGCTGGGATTACAGGCACGCGCCACCATGCCCAGCTACTGTTTTGTAGTTTTAGTAGAGACGGGGTTTCACCATGTTGACCAGGATGGTCTCAATCTCTTGACCTCGTGATCCACCTGCCTCGGCCTCCCACAGTGCTGGGATGACAGGCATGAGCCACTGCGCCCAGCAGCACTCTGTTCTTAGAGGCCTTTCTCACCACGGGAATTGCCAGCCCATGCACACAGGGCGTTTTCAATGAAACAACCGAAACCTGGGGCCAGGCGTGGTGGCTCACGCCTGCAATCCCAGAACTTTGGGAGGCTGAGGCCGGTGGATCACCTGAGGTCAGGAGTTCAAGACCAGCCTGGCCAACATGGTGAACCCTCATTTCTACTAAAAATACAAAAAATGAGGCGGATGTGGTGGCGGGTGCCTGTAGTCTCAGCTACTTGGGAAGCTAAGGCAGGAGAATCGATTGAACCCCGGAGGCGGAGGCTGCAGTGAATTGAGGTCGCACCACTGCCCTCCAGCCTGGGCAACAAGAGCAAAATTCCATCTCAAAAAAAAAAAAAATCAACAACCAAACGTGACTATGTTACGGGTAGATTTTACACTTAATAGAATATAGCACTTTCTTGTTGGTTTTGACACAGGGGTCTCACTCTACTGTCCAGGCTGAGTGCAGTGGTGCGATCACACCTCACTACAGCCTTAGCTTCTGTGGGCTCAAGCGAGCCTCCCACCTCAACCTCCCAAGTAGCTCGGACCACAGGAGCGTGCTATCATGCCCAGCTAATTGTTTTACTGTTTGTAGAGATGGGGTCTCGCTATGTTGCCCAGGCTGGCCTTGAATTCCTGGGCTCAAGCGATTCTCCTGCCTCAGCCTTCCAAAGTGCTGAGATTCCAGGTGTGAGCCACCATGCCTGGCCAGCACATTTTTTTTAAAGCAACAACAATAACAACGACAATGAAACACCCCAACTTTTCCAGATTTGAGGGACATGACTCCACTCAATGCCTCTCACCTTGAAAGGACGCCATATTCCTCACAGTGGTCAGTTCCTGGTGAGTGACCGTCAGGGCCTGTCTGAACTTCAAGTTGGTCTCCCTGGTGGGAGGAAGGGAGGGAGGTGAAAAGGGAGGTGATAGAGGCTTTGAGGAGCCCCCAGGCCCCTTCTGGAGTCACTCAAACATTTTCACTGAGCACCTACTGTTTGCCAGCTGCCAGTCAGATGGCTGAGACCCAGAGAGGGAGAAGGCCTGGCCCAAGGCCACATAGCACATTTGCCCGAGGGCTGAGGCCAGGGCCTAGGGTGTCGTGCCCTTGGGCACACAGTGGGGCCTGTAGAAGTGAAAGCCTGGGGAGGGTGGGCTTCTTCCCCTGGACTCCTCCCTCTACCCCTGCAGGCTGGAAATGCACCCTCGGCACCTGGCAGCACCTATGCCCGACATACTGAGTGACTGAGGGTGACTGACCAATCTCTGAGTCAGCTTGGCTTGCCACCTCCTGGGTGACGGGGGAAGGGGGCACCTCCAGGCCCTATGCCTTCCCCAGCCCCCAGCAATGCCACAGCTCCTCACCCGTCAATGTCCCCACCCCCTACAGGTCCCCAGCGATGCCACAGCTCCTCACCCATCAATGTCCACTGTCTCCACATAGCAGAGGCTGCTGGGCTCCGTGCTGGCCAGCAAGAGCATATCGGCCTGGGGGTGGGGGAGGCGAGGTGGGGTGAGGTGGGGGTAAGAGGGGTGGGGGGGAGGCATTGCAGAAGGGGATACAAGACACGTGGGGGGCGAGGAGCCCTCCCCACCCTGGGAGGGGCGCTCTCTGTGGGGGGTTCTGGGGCCCCGGGGAAACCCAGCTCACCGGGACGATGCTGTCCTTGTGGAGACAGACCACATCCCCCACGCACAGGTCCTTCCATTTCTTCCACGTGAAGCTGCGGGGAGGGGGGCTGTCGACTCTCCCCAACTGGGAGAGCAGAGGCCGCTGCCCCGACTCCTAGGACGCCTTCCCCGACCTCCCACCCGGCTGCCCTCGGAGTCTGTGGTCCCACCCAGTGACCTCCAGGGCCCTTGTCCCCACGTCCTCTCCAGATGTTCCCTGTTCTCCCACCGCCCGCAGCTCTGCAAGCGTTTGGCATCTGGGCCTCAGCCTCTGTTCCCATCCCGGGCAGGCGCCTGATGAACACAGGCCTGTTCCTGGGGGACTCAGCCAGCCGGGAGGTTGGGGGCATGGGAGGTGACAGACACCTGGCCAAGCACCCTGCCCTGCCCAGACAATGGCACTACCGGGCCGGAGCCCCGTGTCCCCTCGGGTCCCCAGTCTCACCTCTTGCCCATCAGAATCTGGCAGGGCCTGTTGTTGATGGCTCTGTCACTCTTGTGTCTCCCCTGGGCCAGGAAGGAAAGGATCAGAGGGACCATCCAGCCTCTCTGGCCCCCACCCAGGCCGCTGCCACGTCACAGCCCAGGAGCGCCCGCCTGGAACACGGGGTCCCTGTCTGCCCGCCCCACACCATGCTGCGTCTGCTCGGGGATCCCCGGTTGTGCGGGCCACTGGACCCCCTGCCATCGGCGGGCAGAAGACAGGCGTGTTGCCCACCATCCAGTGTGCCTGCCAGACCAGACCACCACCCACCAAAGCTCAGCGGCCCCAAAGCCACACAGCCAACGGAGCCCAGGCCACCAGCGGCACCTGCCCAGTGTGGGTGCTGGCAGATAAGGACCACGCAGCCCCGACAGCCCCGGCTCCCCATGCCCACGTTCCCCTAAAGCTCCAGGAAGCCCAGGCCTCCTCCCACTCTCACCCAGGGCTGCTCAAGGGACCCCACCCCACCCCCGGACCCTCACGCCGTCCTGGACCCCCGGCCAGCCGCATCCCCACAGCACTCACAATGTCATCCGCCAGGTCCCGGGCGGCACGGATGAAGAGGAGGCAGATCATGGGAGCGAAGAGTGAAAACCAGGGCAGCGTGGAGAGGTCCGGAATGCCCTGATGTGGGGGGAGCCACAGGGAGGGGTCACACTGGCCCCTCCCTGTCCCTCCCCTCCCACCGAACCAACCCAGCCCGGCATTCAACACCGTGCTGGCCACTTCAGCCGGGGTCCAGCCATCCCCCACACCCCCCTCGGGACAACCCCCCTGGCACCCCACCACCTGCCTGGAAGGTCTCCCACACACCTCCTCCTCTCCAGTCCAAGCCCAGCTCCCTTGTCGCCTCCTCCGGGGAGCCCTCCGCAGCCCCAAGCTTGACTCTCACTGCTCCGCCTCCCTCCTGCGTCCCTGCTTCCCCAGGTCACCCTGCAGGTGTGAGCTCCACCATCCCCCACCCTGGCGCCCCAGCCAGTGGCCTGCACACAGTAGGTGCTCCATTAATGCCGAATGATTTGATGGATAAAAGGAGAACCTCTCTCTTTACACAGAACAGAAATGAGATGTTGGGTGGGGGTGGGTGCTCTGAAAACAGTCCCACGCTGGCCTGGGAAGCAGCTCTGTGGGTCCGGGTTGGAGGACATGCTCTGGGCCCCTCCTTCCCCCTTGCTTCTGAGGTCAGCTCAGAGCTCGGGGACCAGGGGAGCTGTGTGGCCGAGGCCGTCCAGGCTGGGGAACAGCTGTGCCTCCCGACACCCAGCCCTACCCAGCAGGAACCCCCAGGGCACAGAGAGGGTGCCGTGCTCGGACCTGGAAGGTCCCTCCATCCACCCTCGTCATTCAGCGTGTATTGAGTGCCTCTTGTATGCCAGGGCCTGGGCAGGGCAGTGGGGACTCAGTAATGACGGTCCCAGTCTGTGGGGAGCCGGGCATGAACCCACCCGTCACACAAACACATTGATGCTGCCAGGTGGCCAGGAAGGGCTTCCTGGAGGAGGCCTCGCGCCTCACCTGCAGGATGATGATGAGGAGGAAGTACAGGTTGGACAAGCGGTGGAACTGCTCGTACAGCGTCAGCGGCAGGAACGAGAAGAAGTTGTACTTGGCTGTGCGGATGATGTTGGTCTGGAACGAGAGCCGCCGGCCACCTGATATGGGGGTGCTGCCTAGGCCAGGGGATGGGGGTGCCCAGCAGGTGGCGGGATACAAACACAAGCACAGGCAGCACTCAGGAGGTGCAAAAAATAGATTCCCCAGGGGGGCCAGGGCAGCTCCGCTGGGGTGGGGGAGGCCCAGGGAGCGAGGGAGGGGCCGCCCACCTTGTGCTTCCTCCTCCGCCAGCACAGGAACACCTTCTCTTTGAGCTGCGAGTTGTAGGCGCGGTTGTTGGCCTGGACCTCCCAGGTGAATGCTGCAGCAAGGGCAGAGCCGGGCATCCGTCGCAGGCCCAGGACAAACATCCCTAACGACGGCTAATGGGGCCCAAGGGACCCAGGCACTGGGAGGCTGAGATGCCAGGGCCCGTAAACAAACAGACGGTCGGGCGTCGGGCACCACCTAGGGGCTACCAGACCACCGCCCATAGTTGGCGCTGGCACAAGTGGATTCTGAGAGCGGCCACCCACACCGCCCCCCGCCACCCCTGTCACCATGGGCCAATCCTGAGCCTCAGAGAACAGACCCCGGGAGACCCTTTCAGGCCCCCACATTTTACAGAGGGGGTAAACTGAGGTTCGGTGATGGGTTCTCCAAGGCCACACGTCCAGCCGGCAGCCCAGGTCATTCTGGGCATGCAGCCCCCCAAATCCTGAGCCAGATCCCCCAAGCCCTGTCGGTACTAGCGTTGGAGACTACTCGTAAGCAAATGAGAATCCTAGGCAAGGCCTGCCATGCAGGACGGCGGGGGCGGGGTGGACTCTCCAGCCCCGTCAGCCTCAGCCCTGAACTTTTTTTTTTTTTTTTTTTTTTTGAGACAGAGTCTTGCTCTGTCACCTAGACTGGAGTGCAAAGGTATGCTCTTGGCTCAATGCAACCTCCACCTCCCGGGTCCAAGCAATTCTTCTGCCTCAGCCTCCCAAGTGGCTGAGATTACAGGCACCTGTCACCACATCTGGCTAATACAAATTACTTTTAGTACTTTTAGTAGAGATGGGGTTTCACCGTCTTGGCCAGGCTGCTCTTGAACCCCGGACCTCAGGTGATCTGCCCACCTCAGCCTCCCAAAGTGCTGGGATTACAGGCGCGAGCCACCTTGCCCGGCCAGCCCTGCACTCTGCAGTCCCTCCCACCTGCACCCCCGTCCCCAGGATCAGCACCTGAGTTCTTGTCCTCATCTTGGAGTTCTTCCTTCTGGCTGAGGCTGCTCATGCTGGTGGGGCTGTGGGAGGGAGAGAGGGACCCCGGGTCACAGCAGTGGCCCCTGCACTCACTTGGCCTTCAAGGAGTTCATGGCCTAGGGGCCGACTGTCTCAAATACTAACGCCCACACCCATCTGCAGCCTCCCGCCAGTCTCTGAAGGTCCAGCCATTGGCTATGTGTCCTGCCTTGGATACTCTGACTCAGGGGACCCCAAGATGATCCCCAAACCTGCAGCATCCCATCTGCCAGTGTCCCCTGCCAGCCACCCCTGGTCACCTCCCGCCGGTACAGCCTAGGAAGACTCACCCGCGGCCATGACAGCCTCTGGCCACTGCTCCCCACACCTCCCCTTCCCTGGAGGCACCGCTCTCACCTCCTCCTGGTTTCGCTGATGCCCTCCTGCCCACTCACCCATAGCGACAGGTAAGGGGCTCAGTCATTTGTTGACTGACTGAATGGGACCCCTGGGCTAGATGTTATATCGCAAAGCACAGCGTGGGGGTCAGGCATGGCCATCCTGCCCTACCCCCAGCTGGGAAGCAAATCCTGATGAGGGCAATGGAGGCAGACAGCAAATCGTCGGAAGATCTTGGAATCTTCCCCACTAGCGGGTTCAGGAATGTGGGTCTGGCTCTCTGGCTCTGCACCGGGGGCTGGGGTTTGGCCCTCTTTGAGGCTGGCAACCCCCCCCCCAGATGGCAGCAATGGGCCCCCCACCTGCCAGCTCTCTAGCTGCGCGCTCCCCGCCAAGCCCCTGCCCCTGCTGTTCCAGCCGCCAGGTGCAGCCTTCCTCACCCTTCCGGTGGTCTCCGTTCATACTTCCCAGGCCGGCCAGGCTGGGCCCTGCGCTTTCTCTGGGCTGCCCCTCTGCCTGGGGCGTCCCCCATCCCAGCTCTGACCACCTTCTCACCTCCACGGATGCCAGCAGGACCTGAGCCTTCGAGTCACGTCTGAGTCACCCGTGTCCCCAGGGCCTGGTGGGACAGGGCCTGGCTCAGGGCCAGCTCTGGAGCTCCTGGGAGCCTGGGCGGGGCCGGTGTCCATTCACCACATGGGATAAAGGGAGGTTCAGGGTGAAGAGGGGCTTAGGCTGTGGGCCGGGGGAGAGGTGGGGAGACCCCTGTGGTGGCCAGAATCCACCCAAAGGGCATCTGGGGGCAGAGACAGGCACGGACACAGCGCGGGCTTCCTGCCCCCTCACTAACCGGAACGCCCCATTACTCGGAAGCCCCCCCCCACTCCCGTCTTCCCGCAGCCGCCCTGGACAGGGGTCCCGAGTGCAGAGGACACCGGGCTGACCGCCAAAACCCCAGCTCTCAGCCCGGCTGGAGCCCAGAGAGGGTGCGCGGGCCCCTGGGGACGCACAGCAGTGGGAGCGCCCGCCGCTCACCGGCGCAGTCCAGGCACCGCGGGGCCGGCTGCCCGGCACAGGTCGCTGGCGTCCAGGGCGGCGGACGCGATGGAACCGTTAGCCGGGGGCCAACGGTCCTGAAACGGGGGGCGGGGCCTCGGGGCCCGGCCAAGGCGAAGGTGGAGCCGGTTCTGAGACCTCACGGGGCCGAGGGCGGGGCCGGGAGGGGTGGGTGGGGCCAAGGCATAGAAGGGGCGGGGCCTCGAGGGAGGGGCCAGGGCAGAAGGCGGGGCCGAGCGGAACCTCGCAGAACAGGGCCGGGTGGAAAACGTGCGGGGGTCGGGGAGGGGGCGGGGCCAGGGCAGAAGGCGGGGCCTCGCAGAACAGGGCCGGGTAGAAAACGTGCCGGGGTCTGGGGAGGGGGCGGGGCCAGTAGGAAGGCGGGGCCGAGCGGGGTCTTGCCGTGCAGAGTAGGGGCGTGGCCAGGACCCGGCAACGTGACCAAAGAGGAAGGCGGGGCCTAACGGTGCCGCGCAGATCCGGGTTGAGGTAGGGGCGGGGCCAAGCCCAGGGGCGTGGCCAGAGACGCGGGGTTGAGCATGGCCCTGAAGAGTAGGGTCAAGGCAGGGTCGGGTCTGGGATGGGGGCGTGACAGAGGAGGAAGGTGGGCGGCGCATAGCAGGGTCAGGGTGGGGGGGGCGCTTGGGACGGCTCCAGGACAGAAGGTGGGGCCTGGGAGGGCCGGGGCCTGAAGGAGGAAAGGGTGTCAGGGCAGGGCCGGGGCTGGGCTTGGTCGGCGAGCAGAAAGAACCTGCACTGTAGGGTGGGATTGGAGTGGTTCTTGTAAAGGTGGGCCTGTCGGGCCAGAATGTGCCTTCCAGACTGGACGGGGCTGAGGCTGGTGGGGCCAGCATGGCAGAGTGCATGTGGAAGGACCGCAGGTGATGGCAGGTACGTAGGGCGTGTCTCACCCATGTCCTGGGTTCGTTCATTCATCCCATAAACGTTAAACAAGCGCCTCCTAGGCTCAGGTACAGGGCTGAGCACCAGGCTGGGGAGAGGCAGTGGAGGCCACTGAGACCACCCTAAGGCCAGGAGGAAGCCCACAGGGTTCTGTCCAGCGGGTGGCAGGGGCTCAGGGATCCTTACTAAAGAAGGGGCAGGGGTGAGTTCAATGACAAGGCGAGGGCAGGTCCAGGCCAGAGATGGCCTTGAGTCAGGACCAGAAGATGCGCAGAGGAGCTGCTGAAAATAAAATGCTCCCCCCCGAGTGAGGCTTTGGGGTGAGGGTCCTAAGGGAGCAACAAACATGAGTAGGGAGGGATAGGGGGGGTGACCTCCCCCATCAGAGTGGCAACCTCCTGAGGGTTCTCAGTGATCAGAAACCCACCTTTCTTTGGAAGCCCAGACTGGAAACCTGCTTGGCCCTGGAGGCTGCCAGGGAACCTCTTTTTTCAGAGACAGGGTCTTGCTCTGTGACCCGGGCTAGAGTGCAGTGGTGCAATCAGGGCTTATCACAGCCTCCACCTCCTGGGCTCAGGCAATCCTCCTGCCTCAGCCTCCAGAGTAGCTGGGGCTGCAGGCAGACAGGCCACTGTGCCTGCTTGCCTGGTGGTTATGAGGAAGAGCCAGGGCTGGGGGTTTGAACACACTGTTCTCAGAAACTTTAGAAGAGACCTGGTTTGGTGCAGCTCTGAGGATTCCCCTTCCCCAGCCCTCACACAGGGCACAATCTGGGGACAGGAGCTTGCACAGAGCCCTTGTGCAAAGGCCCTGAAGCCTCCAGTGCGTACAGGTAGCTTCACAAGCTGAAGTCCATGGGGGCTACAGCCAGGACTGGCCAGCCCGGGGACCCCTTGGGATATGTCCTGAGGCACCAGGTGTGTTCTGGGAAGAGAAAGCCAGACGTCACACGCGAATACACGCCTGTACCATCTACTTAGGAAACAGGCCCGGGCGCAGTGGCTCACGCCTATAATCCCCACATTTTGGGGCAGCCGAGGTGGGTGGATCACTTGAGGTCAGGAATTCGAGACCAGCCTGGCCAACATGGTGAAACCCCGTCTCTACCAAAAATACAAAATGAGCCGAACATGATGGTGCAACTGTCATCCCAGCTACTTGGGAGGCTGAGGTTGCGGTGAGCTGAGACTGCACTACTGCACTCCAGCCTGGGTGACAGCTCTCTCAAAAATAGAAAAAGAAAAAACAGCAAACAACTCTTTCACAGAAGAGGCAGGGAGAGTCACCTAGTCACAACAGCCCTCGAGGGTGGACGGCCCTGGAGGGATGTGGACTTCACAACCGTTCTGCCTTGGCAGCCTTGGTCGAGTCCTCTGGGGAGGGCCCCCATGACCTCACCCCGGGCCCTGCCCGAGACCAGGGTGGCAGGAAACCCCTCCAGTCCTGCCTGCCTGCCTGCTGCCGGGTCCTGGGGCCGAGGCTCTTCAACTTTTCTTTATTTGAAGTAAATACAAAGGGGGGACCTAAACACCCCTGGGCCTCCTATTCTCAAATGGGATCCCGATGCAACCAAGGCTGCCTGGAGCCGTGCCTGCATCGCAAGATGTGTGGCATTTCCTGGCAAGACCCCGGTGGCTTTCCTTTGGCGGGCATCACCCTCTGGCTTCCGGTCTCTTTAACCCTCTCTGACCGTCTGTGTGCAGCCCCCAGCCCTGGGCAAGGCAGAGAGAGAAGCCAGCTTCATGCACAGGGCCCAGCTCCACACAGGGCTGGGGACGCCATCCATAGTCCCTAAGAGGCACTGGAAGCTGCAGAATGGCAGCCCTAGGCTCTGGGACTCCACAGATGTGGCCTGGCCCAAAGTTGGGGGGGCAGGTTGGGCAGCCAGTGCTGGGGCCAGCTTTTATGAAGGGAAAGTTTCATTGCTCTTCTCTGCGTTGGCGGCAAGAATCAGTCCCAGCTGCGGGCACAGTGGCCTTCCCAGGGCACATGCACCAGGCACCAAGACCAGCACGAAATCTAAAATCCATACAAACATTTATTCTATCCCTGCCTGGAGGAGAGGGAAAGGGGATCCGGAGAGCCTGTGAAGGAAGATGGGGCTCCGGTGGGAAGACAGTGTCCGGAGGCCAGTGGGCTCCGTGGACGGCAGGCCCTGGGGCTAATGAGGGGCTGGCTGGGTTCTCAGAGGTCACGGAGTGCAGGGGTGGGGCGGCGAGTGGTGGAAGCCGGCCGCCCCGAAGGCAGGCCAGCCCCTGGAGCCCGGAGGCAGGTCCAGCCCACGCCGGGCTGCATGTGGCCCTGGCCCCCGCTGGGGTCTGTCCCGTCCCCACCCCCCCAGGTGGGAAGGCAGCAGGCCCACTCTTCCCGGTGGGAAAGGGCTGTGCAAGTCATCAGGTTTAAATAAAAATAATAAAAATAACAATACAAAATAAAAAAAGACTGTCTCAAACAAACCCAGGACAAGCCCACCCCGCGCCCCGAGTGAGGAGCAGAGGTGTCGGCCACCACCTGGGAGGGAGCGAGGGCCTGGCCAGAGGGGCAGGAGGGGCTGCAGGCCAGGCGGGGGTGGGCTCGGTCCTGGTGTCTGTCAGCAGCAGTTTACAGAGACGCCAGAGGTCTGGGGGGCAGAGGGCAGGGAGGGGTGTGAGGGGCTGCGGCAGGACGTGGGCTGGGCTGGGCTGGGCAAGGCGTTCTCCGGCCACCGGCTTGTCCCGCTGCTCTGGGCTGCCTCGCCAGGTGGACGGGTTACCGGAGATTTATTGCACTGTTTGGAAGAGGCCTGGGGCTAAGGACCGGCCGGGGCGGCAGGAGAGGCGGGCGGGAGGCGGGCAGGCGTCATCGCTTGGTCTTGGCGTCTTCTCGGACCTTCCAGATCACCAGGTGCATGCAGGCGCCGGCGTCCTCGCTGGAGCTGTGCCCGTCCACTGCGGGGCAGATACGGTGAGCACCTGGCCCCTGCACAGGCAGGGACGGCCAGAGGGCGAGGCACTGGCACTCACCATTGTCCTGGATGATCTGTCTGAGGTAGTCAGCCATGAGGTTCCGCAGGGACCGCTTGTAGGGGAGGCCCAGGCGGTGGGGGAAGAGCACGGACGTGTCCACCACGGTGCTGTGGATGACCTGCGGGCAGCGGCAGAGGTCAGCGCACGTCGGGCCTGCAGCTGCCCCTCCTGGAGAAGCGCAAGGGCCCCGGGCCAGCAGGGTACCTTCAGGGCCAGGAGGTCGCTCTCCAGGCTGTGTCCGATGAGGATGGTGTCGGCGCTGAACATGCTCAGCAGGACGGCCTGGACGTCGCGCAGCGTGACACTCGTGTCAGCGAGATCAGCCTCTGTCACACCCGAAAACCTGGGGGAAGCAGGCAGGAGGGCGCCAGGGCTCAGCCTGGAAGCGCAGGCTGGTGGGGCAGGACTGCGGGGAGGGTGGGCCCTAGGGAAGGCTTTGAGGAGGGGTCCTGGCTGGCGGGCTCAGGCCACACCTGGTGTTGTAGTCCACGATCGCGTTGTCCGGCTTCACGAAGGTGTCATAAACCACGTGCACATCCGTGTCGACCACCGTGACTCGCGTCAGCTCCAGGCCGTACGTCGTGTAGGACTGTGAGCGAGGGACGAGCCTCAGACGCGCTCTGGGCACCAGCCTCCCTCCTCCCCTCCCCTGCCCCTCTTGGGGTCTCCAGAGCCTGGCAAAGCAGAGGCGTGGCTCCCACCTGCAGACAAAGACGTGGGGCCAGAGACTTTGTGGGGCGTCTAGGAGAGGCAGAGTGGGGTGTGGCCTCAGCAACCCCGTCCCCAAGCCCTCCTGTCTCCCGTTCACATGCAGAGCCGGGCCCACAGCCCGACGGGCTTCGAGGTGCCAGGAAGCATGGGGTGCTGGGCCAGGGCAGGAGCTGTGAGTGCCGGTGCTGTGGGAGAAGCCCTCTGAGACAGGCCCAGACAGGCCTCGGGGGGCAGGCAGCCGAGCCAGGCCAGCTACTCCCCCATCTTAAACCTGAGGCTGGGCAGAGAACAGCCTCACCATCTCGCAGTCCAGGGCATAGATCCCCGGGTGGGCGTCTCCGGAGAGTTCTTTCTCAAAGGTCTTCACGAAGCCCTCGAGGCGCTCCTTCCGGCCGTCCTGCACGTGTTGCTGGGGGTGAAGAAGGCAGATGAGGGCGGCTTCAGGGCACAGTGGGGGCGGGAGAGAGGGGAGGCGGCACATCTCTGAGACCTTTGGGATGGTCCTAGCCATCCATCAAGCCCGTTCACTGCCTGGGACCCTGGTGAGCAGGTGGGGAAGGGGGTTTGCGAAGAAGACACAGTGAGGGCGGCTTCCCAGGACTGACGTGGCCAGCGACAGGGCCTGGGGTCTAGGGGTGCTGCACTCTCTGGGTAACACAGGAAAGGCTGCCCCCAGCGGCCTGTCGTGTCCCATGATCAGTGAAGGGGAGGCGGAAGTCTGTGGAGAACAGGCGCCAGGACACCAGGGCTCACCTTGGCAACCTGGCAGCCGACAGAGCCAGCGGCAGCCGAGCAGCACATGTACTGGGTCTCCCAGCCTCCAGCCACTGCAGGGGACACGGACACACGGTCAGGGCCCGGCCAGGCCCGCTCCACAGCCCCCGGGAGCACTGACTACCCACACCTGCTGAGCCCTACTAGGGAGTAGGGACTCAGGACAGGCGACCTCAGCCGCTCGGCAGAGCTGGATGCACATCAGGCCCGGGCCACAGTCTAGCAGCCAGGATGCCCGGCTGGGATCCCAGGAGCCAGTGGGCTCTGCCGAGGCCTCTTGGGCAGCGCCACCTCCGGCAGGACCCCCCAGATGCCCCCAAGGCCATGGCTTTAGGGGCCACCGCAGGACTGTGCCAGGCTGGCTTGTGTGCCCTGAGCGTGGCTGCCTGGGGGACTGAATGGAACCAGCAAGCCAAGGGTGGGACAAGCCCTCCACTCACAGGGCCAGCAGCCTCCACATTTCCACAGACCAAGGGTGCAGGAAGGCAAGGGCACAGGCTTTTCAGGTGGGGCATGTGAACGTTGTCATGGTAAGGCTTGTGTCTTACTTTTGCATAAAGAACAAGTGGAGAGAAAATGAGGCCAGGGGCTAGGCCTGGCTCTGCCCTCAACAGTGCAGCCCAGGGGCCTCGGGTGGGGTGGGGGATGGCCAGAATAAGGCCTACCCCAGTTCCGGGCGCCTCGGGTGGGACCAGGGTGGAGGCGGCCAGGTAAGGCCTTACCGCAGGGGTCTTCAGGGGGACAAGGGTGGGTCTGGATACAGCCTTACCCTGGTTTCGGGGGCCTCGGGTGGACGGGGGTGGGTCTGGGTAACGCCTTACCCCAGTTCCGGGGGCCTCAGAGGGCCAGGGGCAGGTCTGGGTAAGGCCTTACTCCAGTTCCGGGGGCCTTGAGTGGGACGAGGGAGAGTCTGGATACAGCC